TGCCATTTTGAGTTGGCAGATTTTGTTTATACCGGCTTGCTTTTGAAGCCTTTTGAAAAATTAACCTGTCGTCCATTGGTATATAAATCACTAACATCATATATCGTGCAATAATTTTTCTACAATGTTTAAATAAACAAAGAATATCTTTTACATGCAAGGTCACTACCTTACGTACTTCGTCATTGTTTATGACATCATATACTGTGCGCTTAGAAGCTTTTTCTATAGATTGCGTAGGCAATACTATTTCTTTGCTTTCCGCGCGGCATTTCTGTCTATTTTTATATCTAATAGTGACTTTCTTTCTATTTCCAGTAATATTTTGTAGTTCTTTAATGGTTATTCTTGATAATGCATCAGCTACTTGATTGTCTTTTCCCTTTAAATATTCGACTGTGAAGTCATACTCTTATAATTCTAGCCTCATACGTGTCAGCTTAGAGCTTAGATTAATCATTGAAAATAGATATATTAATGGACTGTGATCTGTTTTGATTGTAAAGTGTTTTCCATAAATATATGGTCGAAAATGTAATATTGTCCAGTGTAATGCAGCTAACTCCTGCTCAGTAGTACACTTATTACTTTCTCCCTTCCGTTATGGTTTTGAGTTAAAACCGCTCCACATGCTTGCTTACTTGCATCAGTAATTATACAAAATTCATTGCTGAAATCGGGATATTGTAGCAAAGTATGTTCCATTAGTTTTGTTGATAAATATTGGAATGTATTTTGAAATTCATCTGTTTATTCAAAAGGAACATTCTTTCTTCTTCTTGTCGAAATTTTGTATGAAACGTCTATAATAATTGCAAAATGCTACGAAACGTCTAGCGCTGTCCGCATTGTGCGGCGCCGGGTAATTCATAATGACGTCATATTTTTTGTCGTCTGGAAGCATTTATGACCGAGAAAAGTCACCTCATGCATAAAAAAACGAACATTTTTCTGGATGTAACTTTAGATTGTATTCCCTACATTTCTCGAAAACATCTGTTAAGTTATAAAGCATGTGTTTTTCGGAACAACCTATAACTATTAAGTCATCCATATAAAGGAATGCTTGTGAAGGTTCTAGTCCAGAGAAGGCAATAGTCATCAATTTTTGAAACGAATTTGGCGCAAGTGGAAACTTATCGGACAATAATTTTTATTGATTTGACGATAGTCAATCACTAATCGCCATTTCTTTTCTTCTGAACCTGGAGATGGTTTTTAGGGACAAGTAATAATGGTTTTTATATATTTAGATACGGATGGTTAAACAATCCTGTCGGTGATCAATTTTCCAACATACTTCTGTATTTCGTTCACCTGACTGTGTGGGCTTCTGCAGTTTTTTGTATACACTGGTTCATCATCTTTTAATCTCAGTTTTCGTTTAAAAAAATTATTTGTGCTTATTGTATTAGTTTTGACTACTCGTAGTTCGAAAGTGATTCATACGTTGTTTGCACTGACTACTGGATCTTTATTTATTGTATTAAGTATTCTTATGAATGCGTTTTCAGTTGCTGCTATGGTACTTGCTATGTAAATACCATGTTTAATATCTTGATTTGGAATCAAAACACTGTTCTCTTTTGAATTTAGTTGAATTTTTCTAATAACTTGGTATCTTGTTGGCAGAAGTATTGAGTTGTTGCCAGAACTGTATGTATGTTATCAGATTCCCTGAAGTCTAATTAATAGTTATATTTTTTAATAAAATCGATTCCTATTATGCCATCACAAGGAATAGCGAATTGTAAATCCACGATATGAAAATCATGTGGGATTATATACTTAGTGGTCTGTATCTCAAAGGAGGTTAATCCTTTGGACTTGATAACCTCTTCACTTATTCCTTTTATGTCTATAATGTAATTATCTGGTATGTCTTGAAAGACATCAGCATTTTCTTTAACTATTGAAATGTCTGCAATTAACCGATTAGTGGCTACTAATTGGAAACAATATATTTTTATGTGGGAGGCTGAAGGCTTCCGATTTATTTGAATCCAAGATTAGAATTAAAGTACAATTGTGAACTTATGCTGCAAGTCAGCTATGGTTATGATAAATCTTCTTACTTCTTTTAAAGCTTAAAAGCTCGCGGGGGTGGCTTGCGTAAGCTAGACGCTTTGAGTCATGTTTTCGTTAGCAATTGCGTTCTAGAGACTGGGTCTTTAGTTTACGTTATGAATTGCGCATGAGAATATGAATCTTTTGGTTAAGTGGTTGCGCTGTTATGTTTATGTTAGAGCTGGGAATCTGTATATTTATGTTAGCAGATCTGTATGTTTATGTTAGCAGAGCTGCGGCTGTGCGATAAGTGGACGTAGTGATTGTAACGGGATAGCGACTTATACTGAAATGTTGTTTATGATTGCAATAAGAATTGCCTTGCGGGCTGGGTGATAACTCCTCCCTTTCTTAAAAAGAATCGTCCCCGATTCTTAATGATTTCTTTTTAAAGATTCAATTTGTTCGTTTAATTGGTTTAATATGTCAAGCTCTGTTTCTATAGTTTGAGTGTTATGGTACTTTTGATTACTTGACGATTTCAATTTCAGTATTTTGAGGGGATTTAGATTTATTAAAGGGCAGCGTTTAAGAAGCTTTACCATAGTAAAAATAAAAATTAGTATAAATAATAAAAAGGTTATTTTTGAATAATTACTTTCTAATTTTATAACAATTTTTGATAGTATATTTGTATTTTCTGATTGAAGTTCAGTATTATTAGTAACTTGGTATTCAATAACTAAGTAGTTTGTGAATTTATTGTGTTTTACATAATTGAAAATTTTTTCTTTTACATTGGTGCAGGTAACATTGTTTATGGTTACTAAGGTTTTAAATGTAACAAGGAAAATGCCTGTAAGCCAGGTTTCGTTAATACAGTTTGTGCCTGATACTAAAATAGCGCCGTCTGTTATAAATTCTATTGGTTTATTTTTTTCGGATAATTTTAATTGTAGGGTATTTTATAAAAACTATGATTAAACCTTGGTATGAAACGATCGAAAAAGAGGAAATGTCTAAAAGATCGATTAGAGTGATTCAGTGTTTCGTAATTAAATATATTTATCATGTCTGGTTTATTTAAGATTTTTGGATTCAATATTCTAGCTTTGAAAAATGTGATAGTATCCAGCAGATTTTGTAGGTCAAGTGATAACAACTTATGTCGATATTTTTTCATAAATAATTCCTGATTAAATTTAATATCTCTTAAAAGATTTGTGATTTAAGTGACTTCTTTGAAAATTGCAGAATTGATTTGATTTTGCTTATTATTGTTTTGATCAAGTTCATTGATTTTAGTTTGGATAGTTATCAAGTCATCATGGTCTGGTGTTCCTGTGATCCATTTAAAAATTGTGCCTAGTTCATTGATACTCCGTTTGGCAATTTTGTGAGGTGTAAGTTCAGAAAGGAGTGTTTTGATTAAATTCAATTCCAAGGTTACTTCCCAATCAATTGTATTGTTTTTGTTTTTAACAAATTTAATTCTTTTTCAAAAATATCGGTTTAAAAACTTAGATTAGTAACGTGAAAAACTTCTCCGTATGCTTCGTATAAAAAAAGATTATCTGTATCCTCAAGTAGGACATAGTCATCATTTGAATAATTAATAATATCTGCACCGCAAAACGGCAGTAAAACTGATAAGATACATAAAATATGCATTCTAAAAATACATTAAAAAAAAACATAAAATAGGTTAGAATTTGATATTGTCTTTGTGAATAGTACGATCCCTATTGTTTATTTTGACTTTATTTCCTAAGTCTTCTTTAGCTACCTGTTTTTTAAATCTAGGTTGTAGTTTGTTTCGTTCGCCATGTTTTTTTTCATAAATTATTCACCTACTTGGTAATTTTTTGGTGACCTCTTTTTGTTATGGTACTCTAACATTTTGGCTTGGGCTGATTTTAATTTTTCTGACAATTTTGGGTGTTCTATTTTGTTAAATAATATGTCACATGGTTTTTGTTGAGTTGTCGATTGAATTGTGTTGTTATACTCTTTAACTGCTCGGTATATGACTTCGGAATGATCCATTCTTTGTATTGTATTCTTCTTGAATACAACGAAAAATTTCGATAATTGTTGAATGAACTCTTTCTACCTGACCGTTGCTTAAACTGTGTCTTTCTTGGTCCTTTTTGTTTTCGATGTCTAGGACAAACTTTTTAGTAAATAAAAATTTGTTGTTAAAAGTGTTTTTTAATGAGTTATGGATTTCGTATAAATCTTCGAGACTGAAATGAACTTCTGTAGTCAGGCTTGGTTGAAGAAATTCGTATGATTATTAAATTGTGTACTGTGTCGTATTCTATAATATGTCTTGTTTTGTTGAAAACTTTATATTTTTCGTGAATTGTTGTTGTTTTTAGAAACAAGTAATTGTTGTTTAAATTGGTTCAATGGCTTGTGTGTTTCTTCAATTACGCTTTTATAACTACTGTCGGCTGAATGGATAGTTTCATTGTCGGACGACGGTTCTTCTTCGGACACGAGATTACTTTCATTGGAAATATGATTGATCATTACCCTTGATAACGCGTCAGCGACGACATTGGTAGATCCTGGTTTGTAAAATATTTTAGGGGAAAATTCTTCTATGAAAGCATGCTATCTTTTCATTTTTGAGTTAGGGTTTCGTGCAGAAACCGCAAAAGAAAGTCGTTGATGGTCTGTTTGGATTTCTAAATTTGTAACACCATACAGGTAGTTCCTAATGCCCATACAATGGCGTATAGTTCCCTTTCATTTGTGGCGTAATTTCTTTCTGTTTTATTTAAGGTTTTTGAAACAAAGGAGATTGTTTGTTTGGTTTGTTTTCCTGTGAAAGGACGGCGCCTATGGCGATGTCGGAAGCGTCTATGGTGAGGACGAACTTTTTTGTATAATCTGGCTGAGTTAGGTCGATGTTTACAATCAAGTGTGATTTTAAGTTTTCAAGCGCAGACATTGCTTCTTCGTCTAAACATATTTCTGTTTTTTTGGACATATGTTTTGAAACCATACCGTTATGTCCCTGTAACAATTTAGTGAGTGGTTTTGCTATAGTCGCGTAGTTTTTACAAACTTCCTGTAGTAGCCTGTTAAGCCAAGAAAACCTCGTAATTCCCTTAAATTATTAGTAGGAGGGTATTTCATGATTGATTCTATTTTTTTCGGATCAGTTTTAATGATATTATATGATACTATGTATCCTAAAAATTCTATTTCTTTTCTAAAGAATTTTGATTTTTCCAAGGATATTTTCATGTTCGCTTTGAATAGAATTTCAATGATTTCTTGTAAATCATCAATATGTTGTTCCGGGGTATTTGAAAAAACTATTATGTCGACCATATAAATGTGACAAGTTTTTCCGATTTTTTCACGTAATATATTGTCCAATGCTCTCTGAAAGATGCTTGGCGCGTTCGCAAGCCCAAATGGCAAACAAAGAAATTCATATTTTCCATTGTTAATGGAAAAAGCTGTTTTGATGACTTCTTCTTTCATTTTTAAGAAGAACTTGTAGAGGATACCGACATCTTTCGACGTCTGCTCTTTTTGAGTTTTAATTTCTTTAGCTTTCCTTCATTAAAAATATTGTCAGCTTTAGTTTTTTCGATACGTGGGTTATCAGCGTCATTTACAGACGATGATTCTGTATCGGATACATTAAATAAAGAAAATGATTTACATTTCCCACTTTGGTAGTTCAAATATGAAGCAACGTTATAGGCTTCGTCTGGCCTTTTTAAATGGCCAACCGTTTCTTGGACATGTTTTGTAAAATTAATATTTTCCTTTTTGTTATTATAAAACAAAGTTCCCTTTGACAAGTCGATTACTGCCTTAATCTCCTTCAGTAGATTATAACCGACTAATAGATCTGCGTCTAGATTATTAATTTCATAAAATTTGTGGCGTTTGCCAAATATGTTTATGTTATGAAAATGAGTTATGATACTGTAGCCATTTACAGTTTTAATTCTTTTTTTTTATAATAACAAGCGGTGGCACCGGTGTCAATTAATATTTTTAAAATTGTATTTATTTTTTTTGTTTACTCTGAAAATGTAGGGAAGTTCTCCCCCTCTTCTTCTAAAAAATGGTCTTCCTCGAGGTTATTGATCGCATGAGTTTGTTAGGTTGCCCAAAGCATTAGGCAAATTTTCAGGTTTAAGGGAGAACAAAACTTCTGATAAAGAACCGTTAAGACCTGTGATGAAAATTCTTAAAGCGTTGTCTCTGTTTTTCTTGTTCATTTCCGTAATGATGTCGGCTTTGTCATCATACGTCATAATAGTTTTGTTTTTCAAAAGGTTTAATTTTTTATTAACTAGATTGTAGTATTCGAGAACGAATAAGTTACCCTGTCGTAAAATACTTAACTCCTGTTCTATTATGTAGATTGGTCGTCTATCACTGTAGGCAAAATCCAACCTTGCAAGTATAGCTTCAAAATTAAGAACGGTACCGTGATTAGTCAAGGTATTATTAGCTTTACCTGTTATTTTATTTCTCAATATTGTTAAAGCACCTACGTACTTTCTACTTCCTTCTTTATACATTCGCATGGCACAGCAAGGGGCTTCGTCAGGTCATTTATTGCAGTAATCTTAAATTCTTGTTCATTATTAGATGAGAGAGTGATTTGTAACTTCAATTCTACAATTTGCTCTTGAAGCGCTCTGGTCTGAGTCGCAATCAACTGAGCTACCAAATCAGCTGTCAAGTTATTATTGTTTGCCACTTTTAAATTTTGAAAATCTTCAATTAAACTCTCTATATGGTTATCCAGCTTATAACACTTATTATTCTAACAAATGCTTACACAAATTTAAACTCTCATTACTTAAGTAAAGAAAATTTTTGTTTTTAAGTAAATGATGATGGCTCACGTAAAAGGTCTTTCTTTATGGGTGTTTATATATATATGTCATTCAAGTCTTCCTTCCTTCCTTCCTTCTGGGTTTTAGGGTCTTCTTTTATGGGGGTCTCAGGTTGACGTGATATTTTTTATTTGGTTAAGAGTTTTTGATTGGTGAAAAAATTTTGTTGTCGAAAATATTCGTTTCGCTTCTTTTGATCTATTAATTTTTTGGAATGTTTTCATTTAACTTGAACAGGAAATGTGATTTCACTTTTAAGTCTTGTGAACAATTAATATTTCCAGCTCAGGGTATTTTCACTACTCTTCAAGTTTTCAGAAAACAGGATATTTCCGTTCGTCGGAAATTTTTAACGTTTCTCTTAGAGGCACTCGATATTTTCGTTCTTAGAAAATTTTTGATGCTCTTTTGAGGCAATCTTGGACTGGTATATCGCCGCTTTTGCTCACTCGCGAATCACTAAGGATTTTGTTTCTTTTAATTATCCTTTTTTTGTGTTTAAAATCGCGAGTCCCACGTTGGGCGCAAATTAACCGATTAGTGGCTACGAATTGGAAAAAAATATATTTTTAAGTGGGAGGCTGAAGGCTTCCGATTTATTTGAATCCAAGATTAGAACTAAAATACAATTGTGAACTTATGCTGCAAGTCAGCTATGGTTATGATAAAGCTTCTTTCCTTAAAGTTTAAAAGCTCGCGGGGGTGGCTTGCGTAAGCTAGACGCTTTGAGTCATGTTTACGTTAGCAATTGCGTTCTAGAGACTGGGTCTTTAGTTTATGTTATGAATTGCGCATGAGAATATGAATCTTTATGTTAAGTGGTTGCGCTGTTATGTTTATGTTAGAACTAGGAATCTGTATATTTGTGTTAGCAGATCTGTATATTTATGTTAGCAAAACTGCGGCTGTGCGTTAAGTGGACGTAGAGATTGTAACGGGTCTAATAAGTCTGAAAGGGCTAAGTAATTGGGATAGCGACTTATACTGAAATGTTGTTTATGATTGCAATAAGAATTGCCTTGCGGGCTGGGTGATAACTTGCCTACTAAGATGACAAATTCTTTTCCTGTAGACACTATTTGAGGTATTGCTGTTGTGGCCTCGATTGAGTTTTCTCTATATTTGCCTCGTCCACTGTTATAATAGGTACTATTGGTACTATTAAATTTGGATATGGCATCAGTCATTAATTAATATCAAATTCGCTCGAAGTCTGATGAAATATTTGGATACTTTGGACCAATGATCTTTATTTAATGTTCCTCTTTGGCCATGTATTAATATGTGCTTCGTTAAAGCATTCATTACTAATATGTCTGCATGTTTCTTAACAGTATTCTTCTGAATTGGCCTATTTTGGTTAAGTGATTTATATGATTTACCAAAGTCAATTTTTATTTTATTTAGTTATTGATATAATTCATTCCATTCCATTATAAGTTTCTCTAATTGTCCTTAGTTTAGCCTTATTTATATATATTTTTATTTGTATTTGATTTTATTAATTTTATTTCATTTTCTCAATGAGAATGTTTGCGCTCTTTTTATACCCTGAACCCATTAAAAATGGGTATAAGGGTATATTGTGTTTGTGCAAAATCCAAATGTATGTAACAGGCAGAAGGAAGCATCTCCGACTCCATAAAGTATATATATTCTTGATCAGTATCAATAGCCGAGTCGATCTAGCCATGTCCGTCTGTCTGTCCGTCCGTCCGTATGTATGAGCTCAAGGATCTCAGAACCTATAAGAGCTAGAGACTTGAAATTTCAGATGTAGATGCTCCTAGTTCCCACGCAGATCGAATTTGTTTCCGATAATCGATAACTCACTCCGTTTCCAATCGATGTCGACAACCTGTTTTTTTAGCAAATTGGGTAAATAATAAGAGCTAGAGCCACCAAACATGATATGTTGCTTCTAGAATATTATAGGTATTTCAAGTATCTTTCATTTCATACCTATCGCCACCTCCCCGCTACCACCACAGAGCTATAAGTCAAGTTAATAACCCAACTTTTATTGCCAACCAATTTAAACCACAATTTAAATGCAATTGATTTTTTTAGAATACACAAATATTCTATGGTACAATAAGATATACTGTAGAAAATTTCATAAAGATCGGTTAAGAAAAACCAAGGTTATATGCAACTGCGCAATTGAGAGCAGCAGCTTTAAGAATTTTTGTATACATGTACACACACACAGTCATGCACGTCTGCTTCGCATTCTAATAGCATGGTAATTGCATCTTTTTTTTGTAATGTATTATTTTTTTTTTTGCTGGTGTGGCTGTTGAGTAGAGTCGACAGTAAGTAATGCGGTCAGTTGCAAATTGGAGCCATGCCAAGGGAACTTTTTTTATTAATTTTTTTGGTGTTGGAATAAGAGGGTTCAGGGTATCCCCTAGTCGGGAGCTCCCGACTAGAACCTCTTACTTGTTTTTTAATTTAAATATTGTCCATATCATTTGCCTGGCTCATATACCTCTTTTTAGCATTTGTTATGCAACTTGTATAATTTATTAAAACAGTTGGCACACATTTTAACAACAATTATTATCAATAGTATATTTACTAATTGTAAATCCATATTACTTGACTCTACTTTATTAATGACATTAGCAGTGGAATCCACTGTCTATAAGTCTACTAGTCCCATATTGGGTTTATACACAATTAATATATAATTATAATTATTAGTTAAATTTTCATTAAATTTGCTAATTGAATTATTTTGCATTTATGTTTACAATTTTTCTTGCCTATATTTTGTACAGCCTTCCAACATGTACTCTGATCGGGCGAGTTCACGTTCAATGTTTTAAAATCATTATATATGTATAAAACAAAAAATTCATAGTGCGCTCTTTGTAGCGCTGTCGGTCCACTGTCGAAACTCGTTCATGTTGCCAGTGCTGGTCCTCGTACAGGCCGGGATGATTGTTGCCCTCTATTGCGCTCGTTGGAGCGCTGTTGGCTTAGCAATTTCGCAAGTCAGTGCGCAGCCAATGTTGTAGAGTGGACCCTCACAGTCCGCCGGACATTGTCTCTTATATGCTGGGATAGCTGTTTATAGTTTGTATCTGGCGGTAGGAGACGGATGGATTTTGTTTTTTGTTTATTAATTGCACTAGTTGTGCTTCACGAATCGTTCCACGAATCGTTCAATGCTGACGGGTTATCCTGATCGTTGCTGAGACGGTCAATTTCCGACCTCAGTCTTTCTTTGACACCGCCGCCCTT